TTACAGCGATAATTCTCCCATGTTATAGTATACATGGTTGTCATGCTAATTTTTGATACAAACAAACGGTTCCTGATAGCAACCATTTATTTGTATTGATTGTTAAGATGTTCAAATCGTTTAATACATATTTATTTCTATATTTTTTGCATTCTCATACGTGAAATAATCCTCTAAATACCACTTGAGCTTTAAAATGAACCAGATAATTTTGAAGCTCTCGTGGTATTATCCCCGAAAACATTTTAATAATAATAGTACTGGTAGGTACTGCTTAGTACAGCCCTGACCACCCAAACTTCTCAGGGAATATATCAAAATATATTGGAAGCATACAAAATTATCTTTCTTGGTTCCAACTTGCAAATTCAAGTTGTCTACAACTTAAACCTTCCTTGGAGAAGGGATGGCCGCATTCCTTTCTATTGGTCACCCTTCGAGTTTACATGCGATTTATGGCCTGGGAAAAATATTTACTGTTAAGGAATTTTGTCTTCTGTTACCTACTGTAGAATTGGCTTCTTTAAAAAGAATATTTATTTATGAAAAAGCTAGACTTAATTTGGGCTATAGTAGATATATTTAGGTCTGTTTCTGCCGAAATCACAAACCAGTCAGAACAAATTTCATTGGTTGAATACAGTCAGAAAACTAGTTTCAATCAATGAAATTTACTCTGACTGGTTTGTGATTTCTGCAGAAAAAAAACCTTATCGTTTATTGGTTATATGCAGCTTTTTGTTACAAGAAATTTGGCCACCCTACATAAAAAGAGCCTCAATAACTCAATCCCTTTGAGTTTTCAGTATTTTTTACATTCAGCCTTTATGAAAAAGTCCTCAAAATTTGAACTCATCCACTCACTTCAATTTTTGAGTGAAAAAATTGTTTTTAGAGTATTATTTTACAAAACATGATTATTATAAAAAAGTCATAACTCCATTAATAATAACTTATTCACTTTGAGTTTTTAGTATTTTTTACATTGAGCCTTTAGGAAAAAGTCCTCGAAATTTCAACTCTACACTCACTTCAGTTTTTTGAGTAAAAACATTGTTTGTAGAGTACGTATTACTTTACAAAACATCATTATTTTTAAAAAGTCATGACTCCATTAATAATAACTCAATCCCTTTGAGTTCAAACCCCATGACTTTTTTAAAATAATGATGTTTTGTAAAGTAATACTCTACAAACAATTTTTTCACTCAGAAACTAAAGTGAGCGGAGAGTTGAAATTTTGAGGACTTTTTCCTGATGATTCAATGTAAAAAATACTAAAAACTCAAAGGGATTGAGTTATTTTTTGGAGCCGAAATCTATGAAAAAAGGCACTCAGAAAAATTGAAAAATTGATAAATCACCCCAAATTGCTTAACACGATTTTATCTCAGGAACTATAAGTGCAAATGAACTGTTTCAGGGATTGTAGTCTCTTGAAAGGGATAAAATTCAGTGAAAGATTCAGCTTTCTATCTATAATAGAAAAAAAGTTATGACCTTTCAAACTTTTCCAAAAAAATCACCTTACTAAAACAATGAAATTTCAAATATTTTTTTGTCAAGATTTTGTATCCTAATGGTCAATCAACATACCCCAAACTCCATACACAAAATTATTCTCAGATTTGAAGCCGAAATCAATGAAAAAGGGCACTCAGAAAAATTGAAAAATTGATAAATCACCCCAACATTTGTCACCAACTTTGAATTGAAATAATCCATGATTGAAAATTCCAGTTGAATTTAATCTCCGGTTAAACTCAACGTTGGTGTCAAAGGTCAGCTTATGAAACTATAAAGATGAGAATGTAAAATCAGTTTTGCTGTAAAATTAACCGTTTAGGTTTTATAGCCTGTCAAAGTTACAAAAAAGTCAAATTTCATCTGTCAATATTTCCAAAACAGTTGAAATTAGGTATTTAGGTAAAATCTGTTTTTTTTTAAAGAGAATTTCATATATCTGTCAAAACTGGTATTCCAACAATAGATTGACATGTTTTGATTGTTGATTTGAACCTATCAGATTGTAATTACGCGATAATTTGCACTAGTGCAAATTATCAGATAATTGCATACTAACTGGTGCAAAAACTGGTGTTTTAACATTTTTTGACAAAAAAATTAAATTTTTGATTTATGAAATTCTCTCATTAAATACAACTCGTGCAATGGAAATATATTTATAATTTTCGACAAACTTGCACTCATGCGTTTTTAACTGAGAAAGGCATTCAACTAAAAATGCATTCGGGCAAATTTACCAAAAATTATCAATAATTTCCATTGCACTAGTTATATTACTATTGATAATTCCCCGTCAAAAATTTAGTAACTATGCTGGCAACACAAGCCTTTTCTACATGAAAAATTTGAAAGCATTGACAATTTTACATTGTATTGCCAACCTAATGTCAGTTTGACTTTTATCTTAAAGAAAAAAAACGCACTTTATAGGGTATATCACATGAAATCTGCTCAGAATTTTACGTAGAATTCGAATATGCAATAATATACATGGTGTCCAATTTTAAAAAATATATTTTTTTATTTTTCAAACTTTCCGCAACACTCTGTATGAACGAAACTATGTTTTCTGAGAACTATTCTTCAAGCACTACACCTTTCCTATTTACATTTTTTTTTACACAGTGGCACAAAAACATTAAGGGGGGTGGGAGTATAAAAAAAGTCCCTGTACATAGTACACTTAAGAAGCGAATTCGTGACCGATAAATCGCTACAAAGAAACCAATATGTTTCTCAAGCAAGCAGGCAAATCAAAGAAGACAGCCTACACACTATTTTCAATAAGATAGGATTGAAAGGCACACTCCAAATACAGAAAACCGTTCGCACCTCCCATGAATCCATAAGAAAGGCGGCAAAAAACAAAAGCTTTGAGGACACTAAAATCGCATGGATTAAAATCATGCTAAAGGATAGGAAAATCGAAAATCAATAAGAGGTGAATCCTAGCATGGTAATTTGATAATTCTACCATTCAGAAGAAAAATGAAGCTCAACTTAATAGCACCAACACTGGACGGAATACAGATAGGCTTTTCAAGTGAAGTTAAATATTTAGGCGTTGCCCTGCCCTAGATCAAAAACTCACACTGAGAAAATTCCCAGGAGAAAATTCTTTGCTGGTTTTTTTTGGCTGTTACAGTGGAAAATGTTTTAGAGGTAGCAATGTTATTTTGCTTCTACAGAAAAGACCACTTTGCTGAAACTACTTTATTGAAACTGCAAAGATATTTCTTATTCCAAAACCAAACTTTGCTGTTATAGCAAAGTTAAAATTTTATGAAAATATTTCTGCTTCTCCGAAATAGAACTTTTCTAAGATAGATAGATACTTTACTGTTGCAGCAAAAAAAAAATCCTGTAATTTTTGTTATTGTTACAGTAATGTTTTTTGCTACCCTAGCCAAATTACTTAACTAAAAATACCGTTCGGACATTTCCGTGATTTCTTCGGGTCCAAAAATAACCGATAAAATATGTTTCGTGTTCATTTTCTTCCATTTTAGTTTAGTAGCTAACGCCGTACGGTGTGGATCGTGGATGCTGTCGAGTCAAGTCGAGTGTCGGTCGCTGGGAATCTTTTTGGAAATGGTGCCAGCGCATCCATCAAAACTAGCAGAAACAACTCTAGCGCCAAACTTTTCATTAATTGTACGTGCGTGTTTCAGATCAGGTAATGAAAGTTTAGGGGTTTAAATAGAGTTTGTTTATCTCCTGGTTTTGTTATGATGGACGCGCTACTACATATTTCCAAAGATTTCCAGCAAAATATTTTTGCTATTGGTGAGACAAATAACTTCCCATGGCTAATAAAACACTTGGCTGATTCGGCAAGAAATTTTTTGTTCTGAGACAAACACTTTCCTATTTCAGGAAGCATTTCTAATAACAACAACAAATATCTTTTCTGTCTTAGCAATCTACTTTTCAATAGCAAAAAAGGATGTTTTTGACGGTATATAACCTCTTTTCTAGGACAGCATAGTTACTTTCCTACGACAGCAAAGTAGCTTTTCTATGCCAGCAAAGTGACCTTATAGAAACTGTGAGTAAATTCTTTATAAAGTCACTTTGCTACCGCAAATAAACGGTGCCAGTAAAGTTATCTTCTCGGCGGTAGTAAAGATCTTGGCTGTCCCCTATGTAGCCAAAATTTTTGGCTACGGCAGCAGAAAAATTAGCTATGACACTGAAAAAAATTTCTCAGTGCACCTCAAACCTCTAACCTGGAATTTACATTAAAAAGTAAATGATCCAGCAACAGCCTGGAAATGCCGGAGACTATTCAGTAAAACATGAGGCCTGAAACCAAAAATTATTGGCTATTTATGATGCTTAATTCATAAGACCCGGCTGATAATCTGTAACAGATAGAGGTCATTATCCCTATCGCTATGCCACTTGCTGTCTTCTTCTCTCTTTTCGAAATCACTAGATAGGGGACGTTAATAGACAATAGCATAGATTTAATGACAATAGAGATAGAGAAAATATCTCTATTCGCTACAGAGTCCCAGCCCTGGTCACATATTCTGCAATGGTTGGCCAAAAGTAAAACAGCAGACAGGGCAAAACCCATTGGCAGTTGTACAAAGGTACCTATGCATGTCTTGGGAATAAAAGATGCCATGCCAATGCAAACCAAATACCGTTTAGTTTGGGAGACGACCGCGTTTTTCCTACTCCTATCGAATTATGTGTCGACACTGAGAGCCGCCAATCAAAAAAACGTAACAGTACTTCCATGATGTTTTTAATAAAAAAATACATGTTCGCGTAGGGAACAGTGTGGAGTATCGGAATATGCGTATATACCTTGTCGTCCTTGTCCAACCCTGCCGCATAAACAGGGGTGCGCAAAGGGGTTGTTTGAGGACCTCGTCCGCACTCAGTGCGGAGATAGTTATTTTCCTAACAATTTCATTTGAGCTCACCGTATAAATAGAAATGTGCATAATAAACCACCTTGTTTAACTGTGAATATAAGTAAATTTATTAAAAATATAATATTATTTACACAAACAATGATCACTAGCATCTAGATTACGTATTTTTATTCCGAAATTGAGGCAATTAGAAACGAGTTTTGTCTAGAAGCTACTCGAAACTATTAAAATGAAGGCATTTCTTCAAATGGTAATACATATTAACAAAATTATTTTTCTGAACCAAAAAAGAAAGTTCACATTTCTGTTAGTTCTCTACAATAACAAGTTTCTGGCAAAAATTGGGGTCTTTTTTTTATTATTAAAGCAACTAGTCTTGGGATCTGAAAGCTTTTTACATCCCATCATATTATTATTAAAAACAAAAAAACAATTTAAAACAAATTTAGGTCACAATCAAAACAATTAGGTACTCGCAATTCAATATTCTAAGTGGAAAATGTGGATAAAAATAAGTTCAGAAGCTTTTTAATCTCAACCCTAGTCACTGTAATAATACATCCTACATAAAAGTACTACATGGGGATTTCGGAAACGGTAAGAGATACAATTTTGGCTAAATGGGACAAAGTTGCGCTATTCCAAGCTCAATCAGATGCTGCATCGAAATTGAAAATATCTACAGGGGTTTTCAAAATATCGAACAAAAACTTAAAATTGTGTCTTTCAAAAAATTGAAATATCGTCGCCATTTTGTAAGCAAATTAATTTAAATATGACTGCTGAGATAAAGCATCTGATTGGGCTCGGAATAGCGCAACTTTTTTCTCATTTAACCAGAATTGTATCTCTTAACGTTTCCAAAATCCCCATGTAGTTACTTTTATCTGGGACACCCTATATAAGCAGATAAAGACTTTTGCCTCGTTTTTGCACTAAATATGAATTCACATTTGTCTGCAGTTGACCATTGTTACAAGTTTTTTCATACCATAAGGCTTTGTTGGACAATTCCAGTGAATATTTATCATACATTACAGGTACAAGTGAATCACAAGATTTTTCGCACAATTTAAAAATGAGAATAAAGTAAAACCCAAATTGCACAGAGGAGGCAGAATGACTGGCATCTGAAAAAAAAATAGCTTTCAATGAGGAAAAACAATATGGTATGAAATTAAATAAAATATCTTCTATAGCACAATAAGGTGATAAGGTTTTAAGCCTTATAATATGTGAATACTTGCAACATAAATCATAAATCCGAATAAGCTATATTGAACAATTAGCTAAACTTAAACATATTTACTATAATTACAAAACTGGAATCACAAACAATTTTTGGTTGCTTAGACCAAGTTTCACAACGTATCCTCAAATCCTCAACAAGTAATCACATACATATTATTATAATAGAAGCAGCAACTTTAAACATCCAAATTTCTTAACTTCAATGAATTAATACATGAGCAGATTATGTCCCTTTAGGAAAATTCAGATAATAGGAGTGATTTTTCTTGTGTACATACAACATATGGAACCTCTAAAGAATTTGAAATTTACTATTTAAATTTTAAATTTCAATGGATAAGTGATTAGGTACATACATCATAATTTATGGCAAATTGCACCGACCATTTTTAGGGGATTTAACGATAATCAACGTTTAAAGTGATAGTTTTACCTGCAAAAATCTCACTTTAAACGTTTCGTGGCATCTACTAGTTATTTATACACCAAGTGGTTATGTATTGTGTGATGTGCTGGATTATGTACAGGGTGTCTCAAATTCAAGTGCCAACATGGGGATATCCGTAACTGTGATACGAGTAGCACCATTTAATAGGACACAAAAAATAGTCTCAGTGCTTTTTTTTCTTTGTAGCTCTTTACATGGGGTAAATTAAAATAAAAACGAAAAATCAAAATTTTAGTTTTTTCAAAAAATCTCGAAAACAACAAACAAATTTGTTGGGCACATAAATGCGCAACTTTTGTTTAATTTAACCACCCTCGTATCTAGGTTACCGATATCCCCATGTTGGCCCTCGAATTCCGGACACCCTGTACCTATAACAGGTGACCATGAGATTACTTTACTTACCAAGCTGTACGTGCGTTTTTATTCTCATCGGGTTTTCCTGATGAATTCCATCACCGATGAGCGCCGATGAGCAGTACGTCATCAAAATACATCGCAATTTTGTTGATGAAATGAATCAACTAAAAAACACTTCGATGGATTCTGAGACTTGAATTGATACTCTTGACATTGGTTTGTGTTGTTTGTTTGATTTGGCAAACATCATTTGGCAAACCATAACCATACAATGATTGGAAGTCTAGTGTTAATTAAGAAGAATTGTGAGCTCTACATCATCATCAAATGATGAGTTTAGAAGTTCTTCAGATGAAATAGGAATTAGTTTTACTTGAATTGTAGAAAACATAAAAAAATACAAAATTATATTTCTTTACAATTCACAACATAATAATATATTTCTTCTGTAGTTCCTTTGCATTGTGATTTAGATGTTAAGTCTCATTTTAGACTTATCAGGACTGTAGTGGAGGTAAGATATTAGAAATAAAATTATCTCCGAGACAGTTAGCTGAGCTTTAAGAACTCACAAATCAGTTTGATTTGAAATTTCAGATATATTTCTCACTTGTCACAAAGTTAGGTAATTTGGCGCTCTTATGCTCAAAGCTCTTAGGTTTGGTATGGTTTTCACACTCTCAGATCACTTTAACATGCCCCTTTTCCTTTTTTTTTTGTTAAGGTCTTCGCAAATCTTCACATAATAAATATAAATGCAAAACAAAACGATGCCAGTCGGCCATCAACAACCGTCAACATAATTTTGAGGTTAGATTTCACGTTAAAATTCATCAGTTCATCGGAAATGAACCTCGATGAATTCGATGGCTAATCGTACTTTCACCGATAAGTGTAAGATGAGAATAAAAACAGACCGATGAAATCCATCGATGTTTTACTGATGAGAATAAAAACAGTCAATTGACATTTTCGCTAAATCGATGAGCACATCGGTGAGAATAAAAACGCACGTTGTATTCCCATGCCTAAAGCCAGGGACACATCTATCATGCATTCTTCCGATCCGACTCCGATCATACAATCAAGGTCCTTATTCTTGGAACAGGGGAGCAGCGGAACACTCGTTCTCCTGGGAACGCTGCTTCCTGTTCCAAGAATAGGGACCCTGATTAAATGATCGGAGTCGGATCGGAAGAATGCATGATAGATGTGTCCCGGGCTTTAAGTGTACTGTTTTTAAAATATTTGGTGTGATGTAATAATAAAAGGCTTGGTCCAATTTAAATAAACAAGTTGATGGCACTTCCTGTCAAACGGGAAGCGACTGTCAATTGTTTTTATGCTGAAATTCTGCATTGATATGATTACATCCAATTGCTATACATCCCCAAAATTTAAAATCGATTTTCATGTCTAAGCTTGGTAAGTAATCTCGTGGTCACCCAGTACGCTTTACTTTCGCACTATACAATATGATGCAGTGGCTGCCAGCTGAGGGATAATTTTCAGAAATTCAGTTTCAGCTCTTTCGGATTATTAGGTTGTTATACGTTTATTAAAAACAAAAATGGTATCATTATACATAATGAGAATTTTTCAACTTTAAAAATTATGTACCTCAATACCTATTAAAGGGGGTGTAAACTTAAAATACAACTTGTATTCAGAAAATAAAGAAAAAAAATTCTAAGAACGCTTGTGAAAATCTCGCATCACTACTCAAAATAATACGCCTGAATAAAGCTTTGTCTATTCATCGCGTGACGTCATGAATACGACGCATTGATAGGGATGAGATCGCAAAAACAATACAATATAGTCTCTAATAGCTCTGTTCCAACCGACATGAGAACCGTTTTAGAACGGTAATTTCCAGTCGAGCAATTCATTTATCAAGTAGGATAAACATTTAGCTTATTGAAAAATAGGTGGACAACTGGAAAGTACTGGTTCTGGAACGGTTCTCATGTCGGTTGGAACAGAGCTAATATATGCAGCAACCATGAGCAAACGCGCGCGAAGCGCCGGAAGGCGGACTCAGTTTGTGCACGTGACGTCACAGCGCTAGCATAGCAGTGGGAACTTTATACCACCGTATCTTCGCAACGGTTGCCCGTAGCCTAGTGCGGTTGAACAATTTGTTGTGTGTGTGGTTTTCTAAAACTTTTATTTTTGGGTCACACCCCCTTTAAAGTTTCAAATTGAAAGGGTGAATTTTATCCCCTCTAGTATGTGATAGAATGTAATAATTTTCAACCGGAAATGAAATGATCTCTTTAATTTTTCTCCTACATCACATGTCCATTTCCTTAGAACAAAATTGATGCGTTCACAACACCCGAAAAGCATACAGCTGAGTGCCCACTTTTTATTGTATTATCCTGTATAACAAAAATACATGTAAAGCATCTAGGCCATTTTAGTTTTACTCTACCGAGTTTTTGAGGAATTTATCCCAAAAATTAGGACTAAGCTTTTGACAGAAACTCTCTAAAACCAGCAAACGCACAATTATTCTTCATAAAAATTTGAAAAAAAAACTTGAATCAAAACTATCCAATCTTCTTAGTTACTGTTGATCGTCTTATTTTTTCCAGAAATCTTTTTTTTATTGCTGTCTAAAAAACTAAAGTTCTACCAATTCGTACAACGGCTCTTCTAGGTATAACAATACGCTTTGAAACTTGGTACTTATAATTTTATGTACAAAAAATCTACACGACTAATATTCGGTGATGTATTTAACCTGCTGAATGGTTTGGCCTGCTCATAGTTATTTTATTGGGTATGTACATATTGGATAGCTCACTCCTGAAAACATCAAAATTTAGAAAAAGACCCAATTTTATCTTAAATTTACCTTAAACTTTGGGGTAAAACTGTATCATCTAAATTGTAATTTCGCACTGCAACCATAGAAAGTGTCTTCAAGGAAGGGTTGAGATCTAGGATGTACATGTCACTATGATCGACTAGTCCATCTAGGCCTACTTCTTCTTGTTCATCTGGAGTTTTATTAGTTAAAGGACTGCAAAAGAAGAATTTTTGTTTTATCAATCATCAAACCTATTTTTCTAGCATTAGATTAATAAATTGCTTAATCAAATAATCTATTATAAAATTTTAAAAAACCTGTCCTTTAATTATCTGAAGCAATTTACTACCAAAAACTAGTCTGGTGGCATATTAGAGCAATTTTTAATTGACTGCCATGACTAATACCATTGATTAAAACCAAATCAATATGTGAAATTTATACAGTCGTACTATAGATTGTTGTAATATAATTTTGTTTTTATGCTTGACCGTGTGGAATTTTTTTTTTAGGTAGGCAAATGGAAACGTTTCATTAGTTATTGGCCATGATTTTCACTGAGTGATTGATTGTTTTTTCCAATAGGTTTCAAAAATAACGACATATTATTATTAGAATTGATAATTTTTGAAGACACGTTATTATTACAAGGGAATGCTAAACAAATAAGAAATTTTTTATCAGAAATATGGTTAATATTTGCAAAAGTTGGCTTCTGATATTAAAACTGTTTGTTTGTCCTGGATGGGCTAGAGTACCTATAGCTCTGTTATCACAGAAATCACAAGCCAGTCGAGCGTTTTTTATTAGTGCAAATCGCCAACAACCAGTTTTTTGACTATTTTCAACCAATGAAATTGGCTCTGACTGGTTTGTGATTTCTGTGAGAACAGACCTTATATGTGCTAGAGTGAGAAAGTTAATAAAATCCATAAAAAAACCAAAGCGAAAACACCAACAGACAGTTTAGCGTTTAGCCCTTAAGATGTCAAGTTCACTGGAAATTACTGCAATATTGGGACTATCCACATAAATAAATAAAGTTTAACACCAATAAGCTGTATAATATACAGAGCGCCCAAGAGCAATAGTACAACGTTTCTAAATGAGTTAATATTCAGAATCCAGAAAGCCAATCAGTAATCATCAAAGAAATGAATTTAAACCTGCTTGAAAAAAAAAAACTATAAAAGAAACAAGAACCTCATGGAAATTAATGATTATGATATGAAGTTCAAAATAGTTGAGACATTGAAAAGGCCACAAGGCACAGCAAAACTTCATGCAGCTTGAATATTAGATCATCATTATGTACAGGGTATTTCCTCATATTTTGACCCCTACCTATTGTTTGCCCAGTGGATCTGAGTCTACGGAAGGAATTCTGACGTAAATGTGCCATGTTGCCACGTTTAATTATAAAAAAGCGAAATTACTAGGCATGAAGTATAGTTAATTTGAAAATCCATTTTTTAATAACAAAATATTGATAACAATAATAAAACGCTAAATATTTTAACGTGGTTGTTAGATCTATCCTTATTTAAATCCTGATTTCTTCAGTTTGGTCTATTGTAAAAAATAAACATTTTCTAAAGATACCATCAGCTTTTGACAATTTGGCAAGCATCCGTCCTGGATGAACCTGATTGGTGGAGTTTTTGGCAGGATCGCCGTTGTCATGAGGAACCATACGGTTGTCAATAAACTAACGTCACCTTACGTCTCGCTATTGGCCAGGGCTCACATCATTTTATCCTCCCATCTCGGAATATCGATTTATATTGAAATATCCAGTGGCGGAGATTTGGTCATTGCTGATTTTCGTGTACGAGTTGCAATACGATAACACTTCCAAAAACAGTGTTACCAGATTGGGGGATTTCCCCCCAAATTTGGGGGATTTTCAAGTAGATGGGGGAAAATCTGGGGGATAGTTTTTTCTGGGGGATTTTTTGGGGGTGAGAATTTTCGCTATTGGGGGAAATCGGGTATTTTTCAATGAATAAAACTAAAGTAAAAAAATGTATTAAAACAAACTGCGCCATCTATTTTTTCAATCAAGTACCAATAAAAACCCTTGCTTCTTCTCGGGATGAACGCAAACGCTCAATCGGATCGGGGGAATCCCCAACGACCGACGTTGCTTGCATTGTTTATTTTTTATTTTGCGTTTTGCATTTTTTTGCGGTTATAGTGCGTAGTGCTCTAAGTTGCTGTACCTATTGTAAATTTTAATACAGCTTAATATTATTACAGTAAAAGAAAGAGGCTAAAGTAAGGCTGCTTAGTTATTATTGAAATGGCATCATATGCTCATAAATATAGAACTGCTTGGGAAAAAGATGCTGAACTTAAAGGTATGTCTTGGGTTATGATTTTTTTTGCAAACGAATCGAATTGGTTTTTATTTTATTAGATTGGATAGAAAAAGATCTTGATGATGAAAAGCGAGCTCGTTGCAAACTTTGTAACTGTTCCCTAATAGCACATAAAAAAGATCTGTTAAATCACAATAGATCAAAAAAACATAAAGAATCTGAAAAACGTTGTAATGCCCGCCCCAGTAAAAAAATTACTGACTTTGTAAAGCAAACTATATCTAGGGAAAGGAAAATTGCAGAACTCAATATAGCTGCATTTATTGCAGAGCATTGTTCAACGAAAACAGCAGATCATTTAAGCATTCTAATTAATAAGTTGGATACAAAATCAGAAATACTTAATGGTGTAAAAATTCATAGGACTAAATGCACTGCTCTAATTTTAAATGTTATTGCACCGTGTCTACTAGAAGACCTTATTGCTGATATTGGAAATGAAAAATATTCCTTAATAATTGATGAAAGTACAGCTATTGATTGTACAAAAATGATGTGTTTGATGATCAAATTCTTCAGCCAATCTAGTCAAAAGATAAAACTGACATTTTACAGATTGATAGAAATTGAAGCTGGAGATGCTGCAACGTTAGTAGGAGTTCTTCAAACTCAATTGACTCAAGATAATTTACGAGTAGAAAACTTGATAGGAATAGGAGTTGATGGAGCCAATGTCATGGTAGGGCAAAACAACTCAGTTTCAAGTATATTAAAAGCTACAGCTAATCAGGAATTGATAACTGTCAAGTGTGTTTGCCATTCTCTTCATTTAGCTGCTGAACATGCTTTTAAATTATTACCTAAGCATTTGGATTTTCTAATTAAAGAGTCACACAACTGGTTCAGTCTTAGTTCTAAACGCCAAATTGCATATAAAAATTTATTTAAAATAATGAATGAAAAGATGCCAACAAAAATAGACAAACTAAGTGGTACAAGATGGTTAGCGAGGTGCAACGCAATAAATAAAATTATTGATCAATGGGATATTTTAAAACTACATTTTCAAATGGTTAAAGAAAGTGAACGATGCTACACAGCACAACAACTGTATGAAATGTTTGCAGATAAGAGAAATTATTTATATATGGTTTTTTTAAGAAAACTTCTGAATGATCTAATAATAGTGAATACAGCATTTCAAAGTGAAAAAGCTAATTCCCTGAAGCTTATGGAAGACTTGTTAAGTCTATTGAAAAACTATTTGTCTATTCTTATACCTCCGATGCGCCTGGAAAAAATTTTGGACAAAGAAATGATGTCGCTCAATTTCAGTGACTTTGTGATGAGTGGGGATTTCCTAAATTTTGGTTATGCTTTTCAGTGGCGGCTCGTCGTATGAAGCAACTGAGGCCGGGCCTCACATGTGAAGATCACAATAATGCTGTAAAATTTTGAAATAATATATATTAAATATTTAACGTTTTTCAACTATTTTCAACCATTAAAAGTATCAAAACATCAAATTTTCAACAAAGTTTAATACTATCTCTTGAATTTAGTGCGCGATTCTGCCTATTTATCCTTATAGGCGCTCAAATCGTTGGCGGACAGCGTAAAAATAAAATAGCAATCCCAAAAAATTTTGCCTCATGTGCGTCACAGAACACCGATGCGATGCCGTGCTACTCCCCACCACAACCCTCCAACTGTAGGCGAGACGATAGCGAATTTTTGTAGGCATTGAGGCGCACAATTTTGGGCCTACTAAAGGAAAAACCTTGCATCTCTTGCTGTTGCGACAAGTAGCAAATGCCAGTGCGTGATTTAATTGGCGCGTACCTTTTATTTGTGTCTGTTGCCGGTTAAAATACTGTTATTAATAATTGATATTGTTGTATTGCTGGATGGAGGTGCCAATTATAATTTAATTTTAATTTATTATAATTGGGTATTCTAGGAGTGTAAAATGAATTCCTCTCACGATATTGCTTTGTCTTTGCTAGAAACTTCCTTCTCTCAATGACCTGAAAGTGTGTTTTTTTAATGAATTTTTGGATCAATAGGCGTGGCACTCAGAAATTTTGTTAAGGGTTTGTTTGGGTTAGCTCAGAAATGCGGTGGGCTTTGGGCCTCACCAGTTTGGATTGTCACGAGCCGCCACTGATGCTTTTAATGAAGCTTGTGTGGGCGCAGATAAGGCCGAACTAACCAACATCCGAGAAAGGTGCAAAGAATTTTTAATTGAGCTGTGCAAACAAATCCAACGTAGACTTCCAGCAAATATTGACATACTACAAAAAATTAATTTTTTATCCCCTGAGAATGCTACAGCGCAAATGAGAAGGCCAGATGTCACATCACTAGCTAGTAGTTTTAAAAATATATGTGGAGATGTGGATAAAACGGTTAGCCAATGGAATGCCTTGCATAGAATGGAATGGTCCAAAACAGAGGATCCTGAATCTTTTTGGATGGAGGTAGCACAAAATAAAAATGCACTAGGGGAAGCACGATTTGCCAATATATCAAACTTAGCTATTGGGCTTTTGTCTCTCCCTTTTTCAAATGCCACAGTGGAAAGAGCTTTTTCTCTTGTTAATTTAATCAAAGATAAAATACGAAATCGATTGACAATTCATAGCACAGATGCTATATTGCGAGTGCGATTCTACCTTATGGATATTGGTTGCGTTAGTTTTCAGCCAACCGAGAAAATGTTGGAAAAGTTTAACTCGAACATGTACCAGATGAGTGTAGAAAATAACAACGCATTAGATGTGCTCGCAGAAATTGACAACTAAGGGTTTTTTTTAGTTTGAACGATTTGCTTTTGTTTTATTTGAAATTATGAAGCTAAATTTTAAGTTATGTCTTATTTGTTATCTTATG